ATTGGATCAATATCCTAATTTATATAAAGAATTTAGTAGTGAAAATGTTAATTATTATGAAATTGCTGACGAGACTTCATGTCCATTATGCAAGTTAGATCATGATAATGAGAAAGATATAGAAAGTAAATATAAAGTCAAATCCTATTTTATTAAATGTGAATAGTGTGAAATTGAGATAGTTGCATAATCTCATTACCCTTTTTTATATCATAGATACTTCGAAAGATGACCTAACTATTTTCTTGAAAATATAATAAAAATATTAGTAAGCTTTCTATCAGGGAATTTTAATCTTTTTTTTTTGAATGAATATGAGAATAAAAGGGATTTAAACTGACTCACAATCATATAAAATTTAAACATGATTAAATTTGATAAAATTTTAACTCTTAAATACCTAGATTAATATGTCAAATTAACTGGATTACTAAGTGTTTTGATAAATAGGATTCAGTTCAGCTTATACAAAAAATATAAAAAGAAACTGGGTATAAGTTATAGCAATTATCAAAAGCGTATATATCAGAAGCCAGTTTTCTCATAAATTTGAAGCCAAAAAACAAAGTACCTTATTTATCTTTTCTGAACAATTTAAAGAAAAAGGATCTATAACTTTTGAAGTCAGACCCGATCCAGAATTAATTATCAAATCTGTCTTAGAGTACTTCCCATACTTGAAATTTAGAAATAGTTTCAGAGGGATTGATAATTATGATTTTACATCACCTTAGCCGTGAAGTTCACCATGCCTTATTTGTGATGAAAAACATAAGAATTATGGATTATATGGCTCATGGTATTGCAAAAATAGGAATCAGTTCCTTATGATCCGGAATTAACGAAGTTACTATCCTAAGATAAGTTGAAATATTGTCTTACCTGTAACACTTCAAGCAATAAACTCAAGTTTGCAATTGTAGCATAGACCAAACATGTGAGACTGATCACCCACTTGAAATGCGTAATATGATATTATTTCTATTCATAGTCAGTTAAAATTATTAGTGATAATGGATTGTAGATTTTTTTTTCTCACCCTGCAGATTGATTGATAATATATCAGTAGATCTATTCTTTATTAGCCGATAAATCCTAATTTGAAATAGAAGAGAATTCACATATATCATATGATTAGCTAATAGATTCTGCTTCTATTAGTTAGAAGTATGAAGAATCTTCATGATTATCATATGAAATGGCAAGTAATATGTTTAATCCTTATTTTCTTGCTTATTAATTATACTGTAAATAAAAATTTTGAATTTATTAAGTTTTTTTTCTCATATACATTTGAAAAAAAGAAAAACTAATAAGATATGCTATCAGGAAAAGCTATTTGGATAAGTTATCTCCTGCAGATTGATAGTTCAAGAAAGGGGCAAAACTACTTTGAAAAATGACATATATTTAGAGGATGGAAGCATGGATATAAGGTTTGTGAGGAATATGATCATCACTTACATCTGTATTGTAAGAGGTGTAAGAAGGTTGCAGAAGGAATTTATAAGTGATGTGAATATTCTTAAGTAATTTGATCAATAAAGCAATAGTGCAAATTTACCAGACATTTTATAATTTTTTTACGTGGAGTGGGTTGTGGAATTATGTGAAACAAGTTTATACTATTATTTTTTTGATCAAGTTTTATTGTAACTTGATAAATAAATGTGCAGTAATATTATAATAATTATTACATGTATCACAGAAACAAGTAATTGCGCAAAATAATTTATTCTCAAACTTTCTCGCGCATTCTTAAAATCATGTATAGCTCCTTGATAATCTTTACATATGGATTATGAATAACGTTAAATTTTTTTTATTGTTAAATTAAGGAGAAACTGTTGATCAGATTTTCGTGATGTGATTATATTAACGTAATTTCTCAAAGGTGTATAACAAAGTCGATTCTAGGAATTATATAAAAAGGCGATGTCCTGATTAGTGATCCCTTTTATCTGTCTTATGCAAATAAAATGAAAAAATCAAGTGAAATAATCAAACTTACTATTATTTACATCATTAATATCATTAATTAAACGAATAAGCAAAGCAATAAAAGTAAATCTGATTTTTATTCAGCTAGCTTTTTGAAACATGTCATCATAATGTTAATCAATTTTTTCACTTCTATAGATGTTCTAAAATAAAACAGTTATATTACTCTTCTTGTTATATATCAGCATTTTGATCTTCATCGAGAAAATCATCATGCATATAATAGACGCAGTGAAACTATTCACATAAATCTCATTACATGCCTTAATATCATGCTTCTCAATAAAATTTAGCGCAGTGTGTATAATAAATTTTCAAATAATAAACATCTTTATGTGCTGAATTCTTGGTATTTAGTGTAGTATTGTACTAGCAATAAAAAAATCAAATTATCTTTATTGTAATGCATTAAGCAATAAATTTCTTAAATACGAGGTGGAGTGAAATGTTCTAAAAATAATAGTAATAGTAAGTGTATATTACATTGCCTTATTTTTTATCTCAATTGCTAATCTCTGATTTATACTATAGGTTCAAAATTATTTAATCTCAGAGAAGTTTTCTTACAGGAAATACTTATTTTATATTGTCTGTATGTGTAGGGGTGATATAGATATATGAAAATTTGTATAGGATAATTTATTCAAAAATTTAGTATAGAAAAAAGTACTAGTGTAAAAATCTCATAGTTAGCAATAGTGATAGGAAAAAACAATTAGTATATTGGCTCATAACGTCTAGACACAGCAAGTTTTGTAAGCAAAATTTAATTTGTGACTTAGCTATCAATAGATTAAGGGAGATGAAATATGATTGGCTGATCATCTCATAATTTATAGAAATTTGCTAGCTCCTTGAACGCTTCTAGAACTATCAAGAAACTAGCAGAGAGCTAGGTGTATTATAATATAATAATAATCATACCAGACGTTAAATAAAGAAGCGATCACATATTCTCCATGTAAAAATTAAATTATAGTAAGTATCTAATAAACTAAAATGGTATAAAAATTAATATTATATCCAAAAACAGGAGTAGATATTAATATGTATGTATATCCAGATGATTTATCAGGCTTTTATTACCAATATTCAGAAAAAGCGTTAGAATATTTTATAGATAATCTTTCACAAGCACATTATATTCAAATTTCAGACAAATATACTGCTATATACAGTATTTGTAATAGAACAGAATTAGGCTTGACTTATTAAGCAATATACGAGAATTTGTGAGCATCAGATATAGTAATTATGTCTAGTAATAGAATTGATATATCCACTAATCTCTATGAGGATTTATGAAAAATAATATGAGAATGGTATTATAATGAATACAAATTCCCTTCAGCATTAATGAGGCGATATTTAAGAAATAATTAGATCTAATTATATATTGAGTTTTTTTTTATAGCACAGAAAAAATGAATTTGGATTTAATAGAGTATAATATTGCTAAATCAGCTAAAATCACTAAAAATACTATAAAATCGTTATAATCTGTTATAATCTACTAAAACACTATTATAGATTTAGATAGTAGAACCTATTCTAAGCTAATTGATGCAAACAATACTGTTATTATTTAATTAATCATTATATTGATCAAATTAATTTGCCTCGAAATGATTTAACACATCACTTGATATTATTTTATAAAATAGACCCTTAGAGAATCTTCTCACCATATAAAAAGAAATACTATAGAGTTTTCTGATGCTCAACTTCACATCCTTATTGATGAACAAAAAAATAGAAATGCAGAGTATCATGCTATTACAAATAAAAAGAAGTGTCTCTTTTGGAACAAGATTGTGAAAAAAATAAATGATCAAGAAAATATTAATTACTTCACTGGCGATGAATGTTATAAAAAATTCTTAAGCCTCATAAAAGCTTTTTACATAAGTAGCATGGGTTCTCTTAGACTGCTCATTTAGTTAGCTTTACTAATCCTATCTGGTCAATAATACTTATTATTTTTTAGACAGCAGAAAAATATAAAGAAAGAACCAAAAATAAAAGAAGCCTAGTTTGAAAAATATTTATAAAGAATTTTCAACGAAGTTTTGATTAAAGTCTGGTATGCTTTCAGAAAAAATTTTTTGAGAGGTTTTTCATTGATAATAATATATCTATTTTATTTAATAGAATCACAATCCGGACAAGCACGTAGTGAAAGGGTTAAGAGATCCCTAAGCATGGCAAGTTCATCATCTCGTTTATCAAACACTAGAACATCAGATATTATAAATTTATTCAAGATCTTTTCTTCAGCATCAAAACTGGTGATACCATCTGTTGAAATACCTATTAATTCCAGATCCGTAACCTCAAATACCCTTCTTTTTCGCAAAATACAAATGTGATCAATGTTACCATCAATTATGGTAAAGGGTCAAATGAGCAACTGGAATAATATTTTTTCATTAAATGTATTATGGGTGTGAAAATAAACCTTAATAATCATTATTCTAGCTATGATATTATTTTTCATAATTGCAAGTGTGTATATTATAGGTGTAGTAGAATAGTATAAAACAAAATGTAATCATATAATAGAAAATAAATTCAAAGTTTATCACCCTTTGATTTATCAATCTGCAGGAGAAGCTAGATGAAAATTTTTACATAATATTTCTGACTTCAAGCTTGCAAGAAGGCAGGCAAATTCATTGATTAAAAAATACTAGACAGAACCATTAAAAAATGAAAAGTATTTTTATTGTAAATTGGCTAATCAAGCTGAAAAAGCTAAATGCTTGAATGTTCAAATATAATGAGAGTTTGACATTTAAGATTTGTTATTCCTCTATTCGCTACAAATTTATCTATTATATTCCTACTTATCAATTATGAAAAAAAAAAGATCACACAGACTAAAAATGACTACTGAAGGGAAGAACTAATGACATATTGTTGTATGTATAACATAAAGATATAAAGACATAAAAAGACATAAAAAAGATATAATAAAACACTTAAGGTGTTTCGCATATTCATAGTGTTCTAGACTTTAGTAATTTTGATTTTATGAAGTTGATATCGTTTTCATTAAAAGTTGAGAGCTGGTCTATAGAAAATGAACGAACAAATTGAATTCTAGATAGATCACTAAAAATTTTAACCATTTTTCTAGCCTTTTTAATTTTATCCTTTGCCATGGCTAAAGAAGTACCAGCTGGTAAATATCTCTGAACCTTCATATTTAATGTATTTTGTGCCCTCTTCTGCTCTTTCCCTATTAATTCATTGAGACGAAGGGTTAGTGCTAAGCTAAATTCGTAATAGCAATAGATAGCATTAGAATTAGCCTTGCTGACTCTTTGAGATAATTTTCATAGAATTGTTAAGGGTTGATCCTGAGGGATTACTTCTGATAAATTGCTATCAATTTCCATCACTTCAGTTGACACCTTATATATAAAAGCTAACAATCTTTCTTCCCTACTCATATTTTTTCAATCAAGTTATTCAAGCTGTTCGATAACATTGCTTCAGCACTCTGGATATCGTTCTTTGCAGACTGAAGATGCATTGCAACAATTAATGTGAAAAGTATGATCACATTGGAACATCGCATGTGAGTTTATAATTTCCCTTTTGCAGGTCAAACAAGGTTCAGCTCTCTGGGGGATTTAGAGAAAAGATCAGGGGCCACTCTATGATCCAAACTCATTAGAAGCAATGCGATCGATTCCTGGGATGCCATAAAGGTGAAAAGATTCTATGTTAGTATATTTGTACTTATAGTGGGGTAAATTGATAAACCGGATTGCATGCTATATCATATGATAATCGTTCACACTTGCAACCAATAGAAGCAGGATCTACAGCTAATAATGTGATACGTGAATATTTATCACTGATGAAATTATGATCTACTGTATTATATGTAATATGGTCTATTAAGTGATTAGTAAAAAATTAATTTTCTCTTTTTTATTTGTGATCGGTTATTATTACATCATTGGTGAAATATGTGTAAAAAATACATGTGAAAATAAATCGGGAGTTTTGTAATACATGCTATATCATGATAACCGTAAAGACTCTTCTCATTTCTAGCCAATAGAAATATGCGATCTATCAGCTAAGATTTTAACAGCGCAATATAAACTACAGTATATATGATGTGAGTTCAGAAAAAAGAAACAGCCTGACGAAAGGCTTAGCAAGAATTTTACCAAATATCTTCTGCACATTTTAGGTGATCGATTTCTCACATGACGTTATGCTACTATTCACATTTTATTATGATATCATCACAAAAAAACTTTTTTAATATCAGGTTATAAATGCGCCAATTTTATTATATTATTAATTATTGTATCCAATTTTGCTTAAGTCGTAAAATCTTTATATATATATTCATGTCAAATTATAAATTTCAATATTATCCAGTCACGAACAGTAAAACAAATTATACAATTTCAGCTTCATTCAGCCACGAACTTTTTGGAAAACACTAAAAATTTTCAAAACTTATTATTAAGATATATTGCAAATAAAAAACGAGTATATTTTATCAATGAATAATTACTTCCTTAAAAATCTCTATAATTTCAACAAGTGCATCCGATGCAGTTGGTCGATTTTTTGGGTTTTAGTTTTGCAACTTTGATGCAAATTCTCTAAGTTTTTTAGTCTTACCTTTGATATCATATGAATCAATTAAATGACCAACCCCATATATCAACCTTCATATGGGAGTGTTTCTAGGAAAATCAGGTTCCGAGAAATTTTTGACTAAAATTAAAAACTTAATACATTTTAATCTAATAACATCAAAAACTAAAATGCAATAATAATCTCAATTTTGCTAAAAAATTCCCAGAACCTGATTTTCCTAGCAATCAACCCATATTATGTTTACCAGTTAGTGTTTCAGGAGCGTGTCCAGTTTCTGAAAAGTCTTTTAAAGGTTTTTTTACGATGCCTCTTTTTTCAGAACCAAAAGTTGCGTGATCAAAGTCAATTAAAATAAATACATTTTTATGTAAAACAATATTTAGCCACCGGATGTCTCTATGCAATATTGGTTTTGGTTTAATATTATGCATACCCTATTTGAACATGAACATATTCCAAATGAATATTTTTTTATATAATAGCAATTAAGAATACATCTGTATCAAAACTCTACCTTAAGACAAGTTAGAATACAAATTAATGCTTTCGATAGCTCTTTGAGATTTTCAGGTTTTCGTTGTAATCCGTGTGGTTCCAAATGAACAGAATGTGAAGAGGAATGTTCTAATTTATCGGTAAACCTAACGTTATTTTGCTATATAAATTGTTAGAATGTATGGTCCAGTGCAAAAACATTTGTACACTGAAAAAAACCACCAATAAAAAAATTTTATTAATTAAACTTTTTTTTTATTATTTAAATAATATTAATATGTATCGGGAAGTATAAAAATGTGGAAATTGAATCAAATTACGTGATCATCATCGGAACTACTATAATCGTCAAATTCATTGTCAATTAATTGTGCGTTTTCGTCAGATACAAAATATTCCTTAGCATTATTTAACACCCTTCTCCAAAGCCCGATAATAATTTGTGAAGTAATTTTGTGTTTAAATGCATCCAATAGTTTGTTTTGGATAGATAAAAGGTTTGGATGTGAGTCTGAACGTGCAACTTCACCCTTTACTACTGATCAAACACCTTCGATAGGTTGAAGTTCATAATGATATGGAGGGTAAAATTAATTTCATATTCGTACTGTTCTGCTATTTTAACACAAGAAAAAGAAACCTTTTCCTTATTCATTTGCACTAGTTTTAAAAGTTCCGGCTTTCTTAATTCATCAGAAAAAGAAATATCATGTGCATTTAACCAGTCAACTATTTCTTATTTTTTGCACTTGAAATCGGAATATTTTCTACTCACTGTTTATGGTAACTAGCTCCATCCATATGGATGATTACTGACCCATATTTTTCATGAAGATTTTTACACAGAGTTGTAAAAAGATTCTCAAATATTTCTGCATTGAAGTTTCTGTGATAATCTACCTGGTTTGAAATGATATTAGCATCCTTAATGACATCAGAAATATTGTCCCATTCTTTAGCATTGTTTCTTTTCTAACCTCTATTTCCTGGAGGTTTAATTTTTGGATCCCAAATATGAACTGAGTTCGGAACAAGTTCATCATGCAGTTTATTAGAGGACCCATTTCGAAATACTATAATTGCATCAAAAATTACTACTAACGGTTCATGCTTAGGTGATAAAACAACATCTTGATAGGGAACCCATGTGTTTCACAAAGTGTGATGCAAATGGCAATACGACTCATCAAGGAAACCTCTGGGTGACATGGAACATCATTTTTACCTTCCAAATTAGCAAACCTATAACGAAGATAACAGCAACGGAATGCAACATTATTTGGTGATTCATAAAGGATGTTCCTTCGCTCTCCCTGGCCAAAATAATATCCCAAGCGATGTAGTACCTGAAGGAGCTTTCATTTAAAAATGGTATATCCTTGTTCAGAAAGAAATTGTCTTAGAATAGATGTGAAAAGGTGATCACCCGCTTTATTAGCACTTAGAACCTTCATACACAAAAGCTCAGCTACATTTTCATCAGGTTTTAATATAGGTCGTTCAAGAACTTTGTGTGGTGTAAATGTATTATTACCACAGCTGTTCCAATATGACACAACACTTCCAATTGTACCCTCAGATACACCCAATATCTCAGCAATCCGCTTGCGTAATGGTAGCTTCTGAAGGCTTTTCCTTATAGATTTATCCCCCTTAAAGTAATTGTGAACGTTAATTATCATCAATTTTTCGTTATCTATCAGTGGTATACCATTTCGTTTTAAAAAAGGAAGATTCATGGCATGATAAAAAAACTTGTGGGAAAAAATGTGTTTGGTTATGTTCTAACAAATATTTAATTTTTAGCCCACTTTATTTTAGTGATACGATATTTATTTTAGCGTAAATCTTTTCTTTTTTTGGCGGTATACAAATCTTTTTGCACCGGACCATACCTTAGAAAGAGGAAGTTTATTCCACTTACAGATAAAGTTGCATAAATTTCTTTTAGATGGTTAACCGATTGTTCTTCTTTAAATATTTTCTTAACATGATAACCAAGTTTAACAATAGTTTCATTTTCTCGACGCAATATAAGAAAATCTGGTATATTTCTTGGGGGCACAACTTTACTATAATAGGTAATAAACGACCTAAATAGTAATATAAATCAGTGTTTTTATGGAAATAATTTAAACCATAAAAAGCACTTACAAATATCCCGAAGGAAATTCATAACGTGAATCCTTTGCGAAAGTTCTCCTAAATCAAAATCACCAAGTGATTCAGATTTGACTTCTGAACGTGATCTCTTACTGTTTAACCCAATATTCTCAGATTCAGGCTCAGTCAAAATAACAAAAGTGACATATTGACCAGTAGTATAATACGCAAAGATGTATGAAGAATCCCTATAGATCCATTCTTTGAATTTATCAGTTAATTCTTTCGAAGGATCTGCTGTAGAATTTTCAGCTTTTTCTTTCCTATAAAAAGGACAAATATTTCTCACTAGTATAAACAAGTCAGGGCGATTGTGACCTGTAAATTTTTTGTTAACATAAAATATATTCCTATCCTCTAAAAACAATTATCTATTCTTAAATTTACCTGTCGAGGTTTTTTTGTTAGTATTCTGATCGAAAACCATTGTTTCCAAACCAACAATACCTTTTCCAAATGTTAATATCGTATTTTTAATAATATCGTCCTAAAAACCATGAAATGAGTCTTCGTTCTTTCCAAATGAAGTAGGAAAAATTAAACGTCTTATAAGTTTTGCAAATAATTCAGTACACTCCTGCTTTGTATTTTATTCAAAATAAGTATCTCGTTCTTCTTCAGTTATACATCTTGAACCCTTAGTATATATTAGAGAAAAATGAGTAGGAGAAAGCGGTATTTTCACATCAGGTTTTTGATTAAGGAAATTCCTAAGAAAAGTCTTATTGGCAATACACTAGAAGGTTCAACTAATTTTTTTACTATCTCAGCCGATATATCTAAAGATAATGAAATATTGTAAATATAACGAAACAACAAATATCAAAAATCAAGCCAGGTCGCGTTTACTCGCGTTGACCAAATTTATTACGACTCACTTACCACTAGCAACAGGTTGCTTTACGATAACGCAAATGTGTTTTTTGGGCAGGTTTGACGATAAGAAGCAGGAAAGAAAAATACAAGAATAAATAAGTATTCGGTATTATTGGTGAATATGACACAGCTATGAGAGAACATATCAGATTTTAAGAGATCTTTGAAGTAAACAGCCACCTCTTCATTACTACATGTAGGAATGATGAGTTCTGCTTCAGCTATTTTTTCTGGATTCTGAATGAAAAAAATTCATAGCGCAGTTCTTTCCTCGTTTGAATCAAGATTTGCAATTGCTTGATAGATGTTGGACATGGCTATTTCTTTAAAAAGAGTAGCACAAATCGATGAAATTGGAAAAAAATTTTTAGGGTGTATAATTATCCAGAGCGAAGCGTAGGACATTATACTTTTAGGAGTTAGAGTGAAAATTGATCTGTCACATGAATTTTCTGAAAGTCACGCCGCATCAATTCTTGATAAATCAATAATCAAAAACAATCATAATCTCACGTAGGACAATAGTAATAAGCTACTTTTTTTATCCTTCTCACTTCTTTTTACTTCGTTTTAGTAGTGTTAGATTAGTAGTATTAGATTAGTAGTATTAGATTAGTAAATTAGGATAGTTCTATTTGTAAAAATCGAGAGCTTTATTTAATATGATAATGATAAATAAAAACTGAGTTTTATTAAAAAAAAAAGTTTTTTTTCTTTATTGTTATTTTATTTGAAAGTTTATATTCAATTACTAGGTATCATAGAGATCAAGCACTCTTCTTTATCTTTCCTATCTTTTAACTTTCTGCAGTCTTTGATGCGTTGGAGTCTCTCAAAATTGAAGGTTTTGAAACCTGAGACACTGCCACAAACGAGAGACCAGCCATAAATTCTTTTTTACCAAGATCTATTACAGCCTTCTGTAATGTAAGACCCTGGCTTTTGTGTATTGTAATAGCCTACGAAAGACAAACGGGAACTTATAGATATGAGCATAATGTTTCAGACTTACCCTCCCAGATACGTCAAATGAGTGCAATTGGGATAACTTTTGTACCCTCTAGGCTGGTAATGGTGAGACCTTTATAGTTCTCAAAAGAAATGAGAACTGCTATAGAAAGAAATAGCGGTCCTTAATCTTCACTAAACAGGATATCTTGGACTGTTCCTATTGCATCATTAACCAAACCAGTTTCAGTCTACAGATTTATAGTTAGCATAATCTACGCTTCTCTTGCCAATAACAATTGTGGTTCAAGGCCATATGCAATATCAGCATCAGCTGTTTTGGCTTCGTTACCACCTGTATGTACAGCAAGGATCTTAGCAATAGGGACATTGAGAAACCTAAGTTGGTCTATATTAATTTTATTGACGTCAATCTATCTCGTTAGGATATATATAGCATCAGAGAATCTATCGTGCTCTATTCTACTTAGATTTCCTTTGAATCTTGTGGTAAAAGTCCTCCAGTCGACTAAAATAGACTCTCTATTGCACAATTTTAGGAGGATTTCTCTAAATTCCTGCTATTCTTGGGAATCTCCAGATTGGCGCTGAATAACATTAAGCTTGTACACCTCTTTGAATAGGTTGTATGCTGCAAGACTATTGTTAGACAATGTATCTTTCAAAATCTTAACGTATATGGGAAGATCAAGCACAGGCAGAAGCTGGCCAAAATCGCTAAACAAAATAATTGATTTGCCTCCAAAGGGTTGATTATTGTGCTAGGGAAAAGCTTGCTAGAGCCGCATATCGATTAAACCAAGCATTCAATGGCCAACCATGCTTTTCTTATCGATTATAATGTAGCTCACATCTTGCAGTCTATTCTGGAGCAGCTTTAGCCGTTCGCCTTTTATATCAAGGTTTTTATCAGTAATTATTAGTATTGAAAGGGACGAATGAATCGTTGTCCCGCTTATATTGAATGCTGCAACACCTGTCAATGTGAACACAGATACAGGTGATTTTGACTCTATTTCTACCATCTCCTAAAGTCGTCTTCAGATTGCTTTAATCAAGAAGGACTTTCCGGTTCCTGCTGTTCCCATAATGATGATCCTTAATGGCTCGTCTTGATTGCCCGCGAGCATATTATCGTAATGTGACTTTATTCATTTAAAGACCATCCTTTGATTTTTATTTAGCATTTCATAATTCACAATATCCACATTTTCTTCTTCCTCGGTATTCCTTTGCCCATTACCAGAATTTCTATCCACAAAGGTATCAGTATCTATAAGATCATTATTAGAGTATTGTTTCCTTGCATCATTGATCCAATCATGATTCCGATCTATATCACGAGATTCTAAATCAGAAGGGCAATTGATAACTGCATTTGGACCCATTTCTGCTAGAAACATCCAATTGGGTCAAAATTCGTCCTGCTCATCATCTTCGAGTAATTCATCATCATTTTCGTTAATGATTTCATTTTCTTCATTTTTAATAGGAAGTCCAAGAAGGTCAATTGGATCAGCATTGATCTCTTCAAGATACCGATCATATAAAACTGACCATGCAATAGTTTCATTTTCAGTTAACTGTTGGAGATCTCGATGATGAACGTGAAGAAGAACTTTTACACAACAAAATTCTTCCCACTGAGGACCTTCACGTAAGGCTGATAAACGTGGAAAGATACGTACAATATTTTCTTTTTTGCATTTATTCCATTTATTTTTAGTGAATTTGTGAGTTAAATGAAGCTGATATAATGTGAAATCTTTGAATTCGAAAGGTCAATTCCAATATCTTTCTAATGGTAATTGTTCTGTCTGTCCAGAATTGATTGTAGGAAGCTCTCCGCTTTCTCCAGTGTCACGAATCCACCTTAGTGTTTTTTTATTAAGATTCAAGGATACAAATGACCTACTTGAGTGATATAATGGAGTATCAAGGAGAATGTGACACATTTCTTGAGCAGAAATATCATGCTCTGCAACACTGTGTAGCAGCAATTTCTGGACCAGGGCAAGTATTTGTTCATCTGAATTGCTATTACTTAAAATTCGATTCAATATTTCTGAGAAGGCAACAGATCGCAGTTCCGCTTTACTTGCATATTTTGATATATATTACAAGACAGCATGGATACTTAAGATCGGCTTTAGGTTGACATTTGCTTGCCAACCTTGCAGTTAGAGCCTATTGTGCAGATTGATCAATGGATCGTTCCTTTTTGTTACAAGCTTGGGTTGATCATGACCATCATCACGTACAAAAGTATTCTCAACATTTTCTTTAGGGTATCCGAACATGCAAGATTGCTGACCATCTCGGTTAACACAAAGGCAATATGAAGGACTGCATTGTGTATGTCGTTGCAGCTTATTGATCAGTTCAATGTAATTCTGTTGATCATCGCATATTTCGTCTTTATTCTTTTTACACAAATGCTGATCAGAAATAGGCATGTTGAGCCCTGGGTTTATCGTGGTAACCAGAGAATCAAGGTATTGTACTACTTTGTTCATAATGTTTTCATCTTTCTGCATTTATTTCCATTTTATTATAGATGCATTGCATTTCTTTCCGATTCCATGAATATGAACGCTACCGCGATGCTGCCATTCAAATCGGTACTACCAATCCTTCAAATTCCATTGTCATTTTAAAACATTATTAAAAAATAAATCAAATCGCTTGTTAAAAAACCAAACAGCGATATGAGGATTATTGACGATATTTTGGTTATTGGTCTCTCTTTCCGTGGAACTAGATGGTATAAGCTTGTGGAGTTCAGGCCAGTGCAAATCAGCAGCAGAAGATCAAGCCCTGTGATCCTATTTGCTTAATTATGTCTGAAAGTTCCCAACGCCTTGCATTCTAAAACTGCCGAGATCTACGCAACCCTTCGCTAAATCGCATAATTCTATTGGCAATATGATTATCACCTTGAATTATTCTCTCCTGAATATCTGTGACAGTAATTTGAGAATCGGTTAGGTTTTGCTTAACATATACTCTCCCTTCCTATAGTGCTCGCCATCGCATCTGGGAATTCAACGCGAAATATCACCAACGAAGATGGTGTACAAATCTCCCGTCTTTATAAAGAAGCAGATGTTTAAAGTATTCAGCAGGTTTGACATCTCTAATTCGCTCTGCACGAAGATCTGCGCATCCAGTTAGATATAATGTTGAGAATGCGCATGCAATATACCCTGGCGTTTAGAATTTATTGATAGGATTGTTGCTGATCTGTGGCTATTCTATGAGGCAGTTTTGGTTTTGCACGCGATCAAGGGTATTTTGAATGGCGACATCTTCACGACAAGTTGAAGGAAGAAGTGGAACAAAAGTGCGTGTAACTGCATCACTTTCATCACACTCATTTTCATTATCTAAATCTTCAGCAACTATTTGAGTATTCCAAAGGTGGTCATTAATAGATTCACTGGTAGGCAAAGAACAAAGAATCTCATCACCTATTATAATATTAGTATAATAATGATTGTTCACTTTTAGCCAATGTAATGCATGAGCAACTTTGACATGACGGACAGTAAAATCTCTGAATGCTGCCAAATTATCTGCAGTTTCACGACGTACAACAAGTACATCTAATAATGATAGATGTTGAGGAAGGTGAGTAGCAAATCCTTATATATCTTGGGGAAGTTGATTACATTTCCACGATATCCATATTGTCCTCCATGAAGTCTGTAAACAGATATTACAGAAAAGACTCTAGCAATCAACATCTTCTCAATTTCTGTAAGCCATTGGAGTTCATCAGATACATTACCGGAATCTATACTATTTTCTGCAGAGAATTTCTTTGGGTAAGTCTTTTACCTATAACAGTGGCGGCATTTTCCTTTACAAGCACTATAGACGGAAAGCTATCATTGCATATAAGGCAAAGATTATGTTTTAATTTGTTCATTTTATTGCAAAACTTCTGTAGAAGACTTCGTTCAGATTTACTGAGCTCAGATGGGACTTCAACACTCCGATCTTGCCGCTCTGAAATGTTTCGATCCTGCTCTAGCATACCTCGATTCTGTTGCGGTTGTAGCTTCATAGATCGTTGCTGCTGTGACTGTAGTTGCTGCGGCTTCATAGATCGTTGCTACTGCGGCTATGGTTGTTGTGACTTCATGGTTTGACCCCGCTGCAGCTGCGTTAAATTATGGTAGTTTTCAATATTTTTATTTGCTACTTTTAAGCGTTTCTTTTGCAGTCATATGTGCGATATGCATCTCATTCTTTGGTAGTTTCTACCACCTTTCTTTTCTGTTTTTCTCACGTTCTTTGATAAGACGAGCTTCACGATGCTCAGGCATTTCATTTTCTTTTGATTTACATTTTTGAAGAGTGTTGAGGTTAACTTTATTGCGCATTTTATCATAATAGATGCAAACTAACAAATGTCTCGAGAATAAAAGCTCAGTATTCTCGTTATTGTGGCTTGTATGTGACTTGTTGCATGTTACAAACGTTGTTGGATGATATTACGATTTGTATTACATTTTAATGTTACATTCAATTACTTCATTATTACATTTATTAATGACGATCATATTATATACAATTTTATTACAATTATTTTATTACAATGATTTTATTATTTGAATAAAAGCATACATCCTAATATAAAAAAAAAGGTTAAAAATCGCTCTGGATACACAACGGTTCCTGTTTCCTAGTATATGAGAAATTGATTATTGCACAGATTATTCTGACTTATCAGTTGATCAGGTTGATCAGTTATGCAACTAACTTAATATAGATATCTGTCACACCAGATTACAAAAATCATGCTTTACAATACTAAGTACTGAACTTTAAGATCGTGACGTGCGTCACAGTCTGTAGTTTTTAGATATTAGGTGATAAACGAGAAGAATATTCACCGGTACTTTATTAATGAGCGATGAAAAAAATAAATACAATAGCTTGTTATACACAATAATAATAAGATTTATAAATTATGCTACTATTGTGAACTTGAGTTTATTGCTTGAAGTATTGCAAGTAAGACAATATTCCAACTTATTCTGGGAATACAACTTTGCTAATTCAGGATCATAAGGAAGCTGATTCTCATTTTCGCAATACTATGAGCCATGTAATCCATAATTCCTATATTTTCCATCACAAATAAGGCATAGTGAGTTCTACGGCTGAGCAGATACAAAAATTATAATTATCAATCCCTCTAAACTATTTTGGAATTTCAAGTATGTGAAATGCTCTAATACAGATTTGATAATTAATTCTGGATCAGGTTTAACTTCAAAAGTGATAGGCTTGAAATCAGAGGTTTGAGGCTTTGCTGATGGATTTATCACAGCTTCTAATAATTGCCATGGTTCATATTCAGTTTCCTTTCTATATTTTTTGTATAAGTTAGACTGAATCTTATCCGTCAAAATACTTGGTAATCCAGTTAATTTGGTATGCCAATCCAGGTATTCAGGAGTTAATATTTTTATCAGACTTGATCATATCTAATTTTATATGATAGTGAGTCAGTTTAAATCCCTTTTATTCTCATATTCATTTGAAAAAAAAGATTAAAATTCCCTGATAGAAAGTTTACTAATATTTCTTATCATATTTCCAAGAAAATAGTTTCGAAGTATCTATGATATAAGAAAGAGCAATCAGACTATACAACTATTTCAATTTCACGCTGTTCACATTTAATAAAATAGGATCTAGTTTCATATCTACCTTTTATACCTTCCTCATCATCATGATCTAGCTTGCATAATAGACATAAAGTCTCATCGGTAATTCCATAATAATCAAAATTTTTATTACTAAATTCTCTATATAAACTGGGATATTGATCCAATGTTTTGTTGCGAAAATAGGATCAGTCATTAATTGGCTTAGATTGGGATGTAGATGATACATTTGCTACTCCCATGGGATTTGCCAATGCATTAGTCTTATTGGTTTTCAAAGTCACGTGTCTGTTCTAAATTGAAATGGAATTTTCATCATCCGTATTAGTAGCTTTTTTGAGAAAATCATTTATAATGTCCTGAATCTGATTATTATATAAATTTAAGATAGCACTTACACTACAGCTAATTATTTAGATTCTATTTATTCCTATTCTATCAAACAATTTATAAATTTTTTTTAGCTCTGAAAGTTATTTTACGTAAGTTTACATCAGTAATGTCAGGAAGAAGGGGTTTGATTTCACTGTATACTAATGTTCTTGCTGATTTGTTATCAATACTATTCTTAGATTTAACATCCCTAACTTGATTCTCATACACTTTATAATAACAATACTAGCATAAGATCTTCTTTCGTCTGGCCTTCATTGCTATATTAAATAGATCAACTATAACTTATGATGTAACTTTATTAGATCCTGTCAGAATTGTTTCTAAGAATTTGGGAATCTGTATATTAAATATTTTATCTTTACTCTGTGAAGCAGATCTTTTTTCTATATAAGCAGATAACTCATCTCTTAAGTCTTATTCTACTTTCAGATTATAGGGAATTTTTCCCACTCTCTCATTACATTCGAAGCTAGAAGAAGCATTACATGATTTATATGATGGACTGTTATTAGAATTTTCTGAAAACTAAGTATTCTTCTTATCTCACGAAATTTCTGATTGAAAAAAAGAAGAATAACCCTATCTATTTTTTTCATTCAAAGAAATGGCAGAATTTAAAAAAGCTACGAGTATTTCTGAATCTGGTTCTCTCTAGAAAGTTACCTCTGGTGACAAATTATCTTGAAGTTTCTTCTTCCGCTTCTTTTACCTAATCTCATCGCCAATCTTCTTCTTATATATCACGTTTAAAAATTCATCAGTTTCCTTATTCTCTTCACAAAATAGAAGGCTAGTAAACACACTTATCTCTGGTACCGTATTATTTGTTTTGCTATCAGGCTTATACTGCTCAAGCTGAATTTGCTTCTAGCAAACATCATGCATATCAGTTATCTCTGGTAATACCTCTGACATCAATGTTTGCTTAAGCAAACAATCATCTATTATCTTATCCTCCATTGACTTGGTATCAATATTATTTTGCTGGTCTACTACAAATTCTAATACATCAACAGCTGGTACAGATACTTCTGGTAATCCCTTTGATATCATTTCATTATCATTTTGTAGCTGTCTATCTACTATCAAGAAAGCCTGTTTTAATGATGCAAGTTTGGCCTCAAGCTCTATATTTTTTTGCTCTAGTTCTTTGACTCTAACATCACACCTGGTATTTTCCTCAATAATCTGACTTAGCTTTATGATCTTAGTCTCAAGCTTATAATTCTTGATCACAAGTCTGGCATTTTCTTGCCTAAGTAAGTCAATCTCAGATTCCATCTTTGATAACACTTTTATATAAGCATTCAAAATAAAAAAAAGTCACGTGTCCATTCTAATTTAGAACGCAGATATCTTTTGTCAAGAAAATTTTTTATTAATAGAGGTAAACAACCATTATACAAGTAGGCATTATCATTATGATAAACTTATTTGTTATCTCTCTCTTTCGAGGCGATGATAAATTTTTTTGGCATGCTTGAAGCAATAGTTCATATAAAATAATGTAAGTTTATTGCATATTCTACATGGAGATTTTAGCATATTATTTGCATCTGATTTTCAGTAAAGCGAGCATCTCACTAAGTGAATACAAACACAGCCACAAATACTTTCATCTTTTTTAATGTAGAGGCAGATAAGATGATCCATTTATTATATTCTTGCAACTTTTAAATTATAGAATTTGAATTCAAAATGGAAAAATCTGAATTGAACTTGGGTAGAAAAAGTATAACATAAACAAAAAATTTATACCACATCATATTACTTACATTTCTATGAATACATAAATCAACTCAAAAAGAAAGCTATTCCAGAAGTTAATTTGTGAAGGTTATAAATATACTGATAGATTTTCAGATTATTTAGAAGATATTAGGACTATATATGTAGCTAAATTTGAGCTGGATCCTTTAGTTGACTTCTACTATCTAATTCTAATTCTACTTTTATCTATCCTAGCTAATAGATCAGATATTTATAAAAAGATTTCTATTAATGTAGAATTTGCTGTTATGAGAGGAGTGAGTCTATTTACTCTAGAAAAAATAAATGATCTTCATTTTAGAATCTAATCCAAATGAACTATTCCATTGATAACTTGATTATATTAATAGGAATAACTTGAGAGCAAGAAGAAATGGAAACTTGGAGGAATGACATGCTTATGAAATTCCTTCATCTTTCAGATTTAGTACTTTCAAAATATAAACTGAATGCATTATACAATGCATTCACAAAAATAGATGTTTTAGAGTCAGAGCATATATTAGCTCTAATACGACTACTTAGTTAAAATTTGATTATAATACAAATTTGTTTATAGCCTTGGAATGGCAGTTCTATAACTATATATTTTTTCACATATCATATATATTTGCAAAATTCAATTTTTTTATTAATACATATGAAAATAAATACAAATGTTTAGGATATAGCCTAGGATACATGACAAATCTCCTATGCTAGTGACTATACAATTATTTTTTCAAATGATACCTTTCTATCCTAGCTTTCTTCCTATTAGGTTCTTTCTCTGCATATGTTCTATCCTTTAACAGACTCACAATTATGTCTAAAATCTCTTTCACGCTATTATATAGTGATTTGTATAAGTTGGAGTTCTAGTGTTAGCTTTGCTAACTAAATTTGATCAAATACGCAGTATCACTTGCCTTGGATATTTTTCTGGGACTATATAGGAGTAAGTGTCAGTCCTGACCTATTGTAACAATACCTTAGAGATAATCAAAATCAGCATTACCCTGCTTTCTCTTTCTTTTATTTGTTTCGCATGCGCTCTTAAGCTGTTTAATATTCTGAGTGATACCTATAAGAACCTTAAGTTATTTATCCTCTGTGATACAGATAAGGTCTTCAGCCTCCTATTTATATATTTTCATATTTCGTATTAGTGGTAAGTTAATATGAGTATAGCTGAAATAACAAAAAAATTTTACTTTATTGCAAAATTGACCTGACCTCAACTTTCTTTACCAATTATTCTATACTGAGGACGCATGCTAAGCTCTTTGTTTATTATATCTATAATAATATAAATAGAAGTGTAAAGAAGTGTTACAACATACTCATTATGTATGGCCTTTAAGCTATTAGCTATAAAGTTCTGTAGAAGCGTAACTTAACTAAATTTTCTTTTATACAACATTTGAGAATCTCATTATCATCCTGAATTTCATATATATAAGAGAAGAGAAGAATAGAATAGAATCAATACCATCAGAGTCATAATCATATTCTGCTAACACTTCACTCAAGCTAAGATAAGAAAAAAATAAGCGTAATTTTTTATTCTTACTCTCCTTAGTGAAGTCCACAAATACTACAGCTATTCCTATTTTAAACCCACTATCTCTGAAATCTTATTTGTCTATTTTAAGGAAAGCTCAGCCAGCTATTTTTCTCTTATGAAATATCTTCAAGTCGTTATTGTTAAGATCTAAGTCCTCTTTCTTTCGATAAGAGCCTCCATTTTATATTTTTTAATTTCATCTGATAACAAGACCATCTTATTTTCAGTAATAGAGGTAAAAGTGAAGGTAGGTGTATAAGGCGTACCAGTTTCAAACATAGTACTTTTATAGGTAGTTTAGCTCAGATAAAAAAGATGTGTTACGTTTTGAGTGAGACTGATGTGATATAAAAATTATAAAAGTGGGCATTAATATATGATTTATATCACACAAGCATTATATCATTACACGTGATTCAGCCTTCATATTGATAAAATAATAATACTTTATTTATGAAATAAAAAATGTTATCAGAACTCAGCTTATAATATATAAAAATTAGCTATTAAGGCGTTTTGTACAAGTATATCGCTTTTACATGTCACAAATATAGATAAAAAATTTCTAACTAATTAGAAAGTCACTTAATTTCAAACTGATATTTTTCACAAGATGAACTTCTAATGCTCCTTTCGATTATCTTAATTTATAAATAAGACTATTAGGATGATGAGGATCTCATCAATAAAATACAGTTATAAGAAACATTTAATTACTTACAGTTTTTTAATATAGTCATCAGGTTCTAATGCTTGTTTTATCATTATTTCATATTTCTTAAAATCTAACTCTGTTAGCTTGAAAAATAAATCACCAGTAATATTTTTATCACATAGCTTTGTAAAAAAGTTATCGTCAAGTTCTAAACCTTCTAATTTTGAATCACTTCTCAAAAAGCTGATAAGTCTTTCAGTTTCCTATAGCTTTATCATTTTGACCCAGAAAGACATCTTATTTCCTAAAAACAGGAGCCTATAGTAAGAAAAACTTGCTTTCATATATAATTTAGAGTATATACATACCTTAATTTGCGTTATTTTCTCTGAGAAAATTTTTTACAGAAAGTTAGCTAAACTTCCACATACTTCTACATGCTTTATATCTTGCTATTGAAAAGAAAAAAGATAAGGAGATAAAAAATAGTGATTAATATTATCGTATGATGCTAAGAGTTCTATAAAGGCACATGCAAATGGAATCCTCATACCTTTGTATATATAGATCTATCCTGCAAGACATATAGTTAGTCTTACGTCTGATGATCTCAAAATTTCAAAGTCCTCAGCCTTTCATAGCATATACTTTTGTTATTATTATTAACTTATAGGGTAGGTTCTGTGTTGCAATTAGACGCTCTTTCACATTTTTCTTATGTTTATTTAGTAAAAAAATAAAGGGACTTAGTCAGCATATATATTTTCCTTTCGTTATATGTAAAAATTAATATATCGCATAAGACCTGACTAATAATCCATTTATTTTGTTTCATAATTTGGCCGAAGACACTGTGTATAGTTCAGCAAATCTTCTGAGTTAAAGATCACTATTCTGGACTGATAAGCACTATTCTGAACTCTAAATTGAATATATGCTAACAAGAAGTAAACACAATCATGATAAGTAAAACTAATATTAGTTCTGATAAAAGTGAAGCTCAATTATATGAAGTGCTTTTGTATAAGAAGAAAGATATAATAGCTATTCAGAAAGAATTCAGTATATTTTCAGACCTAAGAAAGTGACCTATTAAGAGTAGAAATCAAACAGTATTGAATTAAAGTAAAAAAGGAAAAATACTTGAAAATTTATTTGGGCTGTTATTTAATTTAGTGGAAGAATTAATAGGTATACAGAAAGATCTTAATGTGAATTGCCATTCTGTTCTTACTATATTATATAATAATATACATGATCTTAAGGGAGAAACATATGGGAAAAAGTCACTTAGGACATTATATTGTTTGCTTTTATATTTGGAAGAGGATATAAGCATGATTCAGAATATTCTTAATATTATCGGTCATTTTGATCAGAAAATAAGTGGATTAAAAGAAGCTAATAAAAATGCAAGAGTATATCTTCAAAACTTCTAACAGTTCCTTACCTTTAGTGCCTTTGACAGAAAATAGTCCAGGTATGAATACAAAAATTCATCTATAGAAAGTGAAAATGTTTTAATTTACTGGAAAGTAACTACCATTATTTCAATTATATAAAAATTCAGCTAATGTCTGTATCTAGAACAAGTTAACTAATCTTTACTTTTTTTGTTATATAGGAGTATACATGAGGTTTAGCAAAAAATCTTCTGAGCTGATGATCACTGTTTTAGACTGGTTAGATTAGTAAAATATCAATCTATTTGATTAGCTAATATTCTATCACCAGCTTTTGACATTAAGGTGAAAAATACTTTGAGTCAGTGATTGTCTAGCTATAGATATATTAGAATATTAACTAAGTAAATCACTAAATGTTCCAATCAGATCAAGAATTGTTATTGCTCTTTTTTAAATAAAATCTTTGTCAAATATGACTAGATTGCTATTGCTTTTAGCATCTTTTTTATTTCATCATCTGACCTTTCACGATTCTCCTCCTTAGCTATTTGATAATAAAGCTTATATAATTCTTCTAAGCTGGTATACAGATCATTATCTGCATATCTTTTGCAATAATTTTCTAGCCTTAGAGTATATGCCTTTTTGTTAGAAAATATCTTAACTGCAACTAGCTTAATATAGTCATTCAGATTCTTTTCAGCTCGCAATTTCTTTAGATAGTCTCTATAGTTTTTTGTAAGATTATCATATTTTTTGTCCTTTCACAATGCAGTTTTTATGACTTTAATTTATGTAAGTTCTATATTTTTATGATCAATCATTTTTGTATTATTTTTACTATAACGATAAAAAAACTTTAATTAATAAAATATATTCTTTAGAATTTTTTATTGAAAAAATATTTGTTATAAAACATTTATGTTTTGACATAAAATTTAACTTTCATAGCCTTTTTTTCTAATTTCTCAGGAGATATTTCAGATGCTATCAGGTATTTATATAATCCAATTCTCCAATATCCATAGGAGAGAGTTTGAATTCCATCAAGTAATATCAAGCGCTTGTTATCATATAGATTCAGCCTTATCTTATTTACCCTCTTCAGATATATTTAATGATCATAACTATGAAAGTTATACATATCATATCAGATTAGTTTCTTATTCCTAAAACATTCAAAGAACTTATCATGTTGAAGTTCCCTTTTGATTATATATTTCTTAACATCCTTTATCTTCTAGATGCTATGCTTCTTTTTAAGGTCTTCTAAATCAGGATCATCGTGAGTTTTAAGATCATGACCTGCTAGAAGAACTAAATATATTTTTGGCTTTAAACATACTGATTTGCTTATTAGATTCTCTTTTGTCTTATCTTTTATTAGAAACAAGTCTCCTAAATAGTTAAGATTAAAAATATCTGGTCTTTCTGCTTGATTTTTATAGATATTCTTAGTTTCTATCTATATGATAAGCGAATCTGTATCTGTATAAAGTAGACATGCCTTTTCTTCATAGTGAGGCTTTATGTAACTGTACCAAAAGTTAAACATCATAGCCTTGCTAATATCAAGAATTGCTTGCACTATATAGATTAATTTGTTTAAAGTTACTGTGCTCTTTAATATGTGAATTGCTGTAATTTCTTCTTCAAATGCTTTAAAGCCTATAAACAATAGTAAATTTACTAGATGTCTGATTTTTTATCCTCTTTTATTCAGAGTAATTTTATTCTTATATGTTTACAGATATTCTCCATCTGTTTGTCGAAGATTACATTATTTTTTAACTTACAATATATAACTTTAAACTCATCCCTAGTAGCCTTAGCTATTTTGCATTTACAAATATTTTCTCATATTCTTTCATTTATGAAGACTGTTAGAATTTTAATCCTCTATGAATTTTTATAACTTTTATCCCTATTTTCATGTATAACTGGAATGCATAATAATGGATCATGTAGTTCTTTTTAGGATAAAAGGTTTGGATAAGCTTTTTTCCTGTTATATATTTTTCATCCCAACTTCTTTATCATACACTAATCTTTTATTATATAAGCTAAGTCATTCTTCTGAAACTATTTTATTAAAAAATAAATTTTTAATTTTTAAATAAAATCTTTTCATTATTATATTATTTGTAACCTGTAATTTAAATTAATGAAGAGATTTTTAAAATTCAATCATTAGTTCAAGAGAAATAGGCACTTGAAAATGGCCTATTTCTATATGTCGTGGTAAATTTGACACCTAAAGTAGGCGGATATAATTGGTCAATTTAGCATTTGTGATCACGTATAAATTTTACCTTTAGTATTTTTTAAGCTCTAAACTAAACTATATCGAGATTTAATTGATTTAATCTCAGCAAATAAAGATATTTTCTTTGCAATTAAATGTTTTTTATTTTTTTTTTTTTTAATGCCAATTTTATAAAATATGAAAAATTTTACTGGTTAACCAATTCATAAAGTGATTGGTTTAGACTAATTTACGTTAAAAATTCTCATTGAAACATCATTTTACATGCATAAAAAAAAAAGAAATGTAAATCAAATTTTGATTTACTCCTCCTAATGGGACGCCGATCAAGACAAAAAAATCATTTGGTATAATTAAACATATCTTCAAAAAATAAGCCATTTATTGTTGAAGATTCCTCCTTTTTTGAAGAAGATTCTGAAATATCTTCTGATGATGAAATTGTATGGACAGACTCTGAACTTGATAATGAACCTGAAGATGTACTAAAAAAACTTTTTCATGGTTTAAAAAATATCAAATCTTCAAAACGACCAATTCAATATATGGGTAACAGTATCCAAACTAAAAAAAGAAAGAAAGTAGCTGCAAAAAATTGGCCATAAAAAATAGCAATACTATTACAAAGTTTTTTCTTCCTATATAAAATCAAACAGATAATGCTTAATCAAATAAATTAGAAGGTCATAATAAATCTTAAGATATTATTGATGATGTTAATACAATCGATTCATCAGCTACAGAATCAGAAATAGAAAGTGACTCTGATGATAGATAAAATTGAGTTAAAAAATCTAATCCCTCTTATAGAAAAAAAACTTCAAGATGAAATTTTACCATCTGAACAAAAATGACGATTAAGAGCTATACTTCAATATTGTCGATGTTATCAATTAAATATTGGAAAAATAGAAGTCAGCCTTTGTTGTATAATAATTAGAAAAAAATAAATATTTTGCCTGTCAACTCTGAGAATGGACTTGTATGTTAGCACAAAAACAAGAAATCCCTATCTCAATACACAGAAAATATATTAAAGTCAAAAGCTTTCTTGATGATAAAGATATCCATCATGAAATTATTAACTATTTACAAATAAATAAATTTGAATTTTATTTATCAGATTTTATGAATTATGTATCAAATTTTATATTTCTAAAATTAGGTATTAATCATGAAACTAAAATTGCGTATGTAAATTTTTTTTTATTTATTATAATTTTATTTAAAATATATTAATTATTTTTTATTTATTTATTAGAAAAACTACAGCTCGACATTGGTTTTATAAAATGGGTTTTCAATATAAAAGATATCATAAGGGAATATATATTGATAAATATGAAAGAGCTAATGTTGTTGAATATCGTCAGCAATTTCTTATTCAAATGGCAAAGTATGTTATATTTATTTATTTATTTATTTTATAATAATAATCTAATATATAATATTTGTTCTTTAAATAGATATGAAAAATTAATGCCACAATTTAAAGGAGATGAGTTAAATATTCAAATAAATCCTTCTCTGAATAAAATGCAAAAACTTCATATTTTTGTTACTTATGATGAAACATTATTTTATGCTAATGATGGCTGAAAGTCTGAATAGGGTTCTGATATTGTACAGCTACTTCAAAAAAAAAGACAAGGTCGAGCAATTCATGTTAGTGATTTTTTATGTGAAACTATTGGAAGACTTAAACTTAATGAAGAACAAATAAAAACTGTTAATGAAAGTTTTCCATATGAAGCAAGAGTAATGATAAATCCTGAAAAAAATCATGATGGTTATTAGAATATTGAACAATTAATTAAACAAGTATGTAATAATATATTATTTTTATAAAATATAATTTATATTAATACTAATAAATTTATTTAATATATAGATTGT